GACTTCACACTATATCAAGACCCGAAGACTCGAGCATCTCAACGGTCACCACCTCGTAAAACCGAGGACTATCCAATCATCATGCAGTTTTTGCAACCAAGTTATTCGCTCATTTTATTTTTCAATAAAGAATTCAAAAGTAATTTGTAATTTGGCTTTAATATATGTCTACAACAACTTATTTCTTTCTGCATTTCAAAAGAAAATTACACACCCCTCAAGGGACCAACTGTGCTCTCCAAGGAGGGAGGATAAACTCAACACTCCGAATATCCAGACGTGGATGAGCTTGGCTGCCCTAGAATGACTAGGTGCATGATGGCTTGCGCCGGGATTCCTAGAAGTAGCCACAATGGTCTGTTTCAAGGCTTAGCTAGTTGAAGGATTATGGGTCTATCGGCTTAATCCGCAGGGAACCGGGCCCTAGATACGGAGGGGGCACATTATGCAGCACACCCAATGGGCGGCTGCCCTGGAAACCTAAAGCTGCTACCGAGTGCACTAAGGTAGCCTACGGATTTCCAGAAGACTGCCTACGGCTTGCCCTTCGAGCAGTAGAACCACGCTAGACTTATGCAACCGCACATTATTGTGAAAGGTTAAACAAGTTAGCGTGCACACACACGAAGATTTTATCCACTACCGACATGCTACGTAGTTGATAAGCTTCACCTCTGTCAAACGCAGAATAACTTATACCAAATCCTAAAGTGTTGTGATACTTGCTACACGGCCTACGGAATTGGAAAAATCCAAGGTTGAATAACCAAGTGGTTACGCGGATTCGTCTGCTTCTGTAAGTAAGGCATCCGGCTGCCAACCCTATGGTTAATAACTTTGCAGAAGTTTCTACATCAACACCTACGGTTGCATAGGCTATGTGGGCCTGTCTACTTATAGAAAAGTAGCACGCCTGCCACTGGCTTATAAGGTCTAAAGGTTAAAAAAAAAAATGGGAAAAGCAAAAGAAGCGAGTTTATTAAATTTTATAGCAAAATTGATAAACAACAAGCAAATACCAAAAGAGTTCAAGCAAAAGCAACAAAGGAAAGAAAAGGAAACCCTAAAAGCTACCTAGAAGACTACTCTTCGGTAGTTTGGACATCTCCCAACTGCTCGGTTGTTACACCTTCAGCAGCCTTGGTGTTCTCAGCAGCGGCATCCTCCGGACCTTTACCCTCGACTGTTCCAGCCTGGGTATCAACTCCTCCAGCTATTTCACCGATAGAAGACTCAAAGGTAAAATCGAGCAAGTCTTCTGGGGAAATAGAGAAGGTCTCGAAGTCTTTACCGGAAAACTCAAAGTCAGACGGCCGCCCATAGAGATGATCTACATAGCCCAGCTTGTAGAAATCAGATTGGTTCTGAATAAGCGAAGCCTCGAAACCATTTTTCTCACTCTTCAACTGCTCATTCTCCTCAAACAGGCAAGCACGAACTCGCTGCAACTCCTCAATTTCTTTCTTAAGATTGTCGTTGGTCTTCAAAACACCTTGAAGTTCCGACACTTGAGGCTCAAGCCTGTCAGCAACCTCTTTGAAGTGGATCGCTTGGTTGTAAGTAGTAATCAATTCTTCATCCTTTGCATAAGCAGCGGAGCGAAGTTCAGATATGGAGTGTTCAAGATCTCGAATCTGAGGTATGTAACGCTCGATTTCCTTCTCTGCACTTTCATTCTTTGTTTGGACCGCATCAAACCTAGTCTTCAAATCCATGATCTCCTGGTGAGCGGCCTCAAGCTGCTGAGAAGTGGGGTCAGAAGTATGAGATTCCTTCAAAGCAGCAAGCTCAGATTCCAATTTTTTGATTTTTTCAACCGAGGAATAAGCTTCGGCAGCCATAGTTCTTGCCATCTCTTTAGCAGCCTTGGTGTCCCTCTTGGTCAAGGAACATAGACTCGGCTGCCAGAATTTGTTGTTTTCTGCATCATGGCTAGCAGAGCAGTCTTCCTATACTCGGGTGTATGCTTTGCAAAAAGACTCGGACCAACAATCTCTTTGACGCCATCAACAAACTGGGCGCATACATCCATGTCTTCAAGAAGATCTGGTTTCAAAAGAGCACAAATCTTAGCAGCCTCTTCAGAAACGGCCTTGGCGGATTCTTCAAGCCTGCCTGAGCGAGCAGCTTCATTCTTATCAGCAGACGAGATGGTTGCAGCAGCGGAAGAAGCAGTATTCGGCGCCACTTTAGCAGACAGGGGCACCTTATCACTCTTCATAGTAGCAAGTCTCTTCAAGGGTAAGTCAGGTTTAGTCCCGGACGGACGTTTTGGCACAAACTTCGGTACCAAAGGCACGAAAGAACTTTTACGCTGAGCAATTTTTTCAGCAATCGAGCTAGCAGCCTTCGAAGCAATAGGCGTTACTGGCACAAATGTAGCAGTTCGTTCTTTTCTCGCCCTTAGAGGAAGTCAGGTCAATCACAATCTTGGGAGCAGCCGGAGAATCCCCACGAGCAGTCTTCATTTTCTTCTCAGCAGGTATCTCTTGAGCAGGCGGGGAATGTTTCTTTTTTCCCACCTTCATTGGTAGTAGGCTCCACCACAGTGATAGGACGAGCCATCGCGTCTGCCTTGATCCGTTTTATTTCTTCTTCTGGGGGTAGTCCACCTTTTTCCCTACGAAGAGGACTAAGCAGCCAACGCCACTCACGATACTCGGAAGGAATACCCAGAGCGACATGCACTTTTTTCATATCTGGAGAAACCCTAGGAGTTGAGCCAAATTCCGAATCTACAAAAAAAAAAAAAAAAAAAAAAAAAAAAAAAAAACAGAAGACAATCAGAAAATTGAAGAATGATTTGGCACTAAAGCAAAGCAGCCGAAAAGACTAAGCAGTCTGCTTACCAGATATGAAGACCGTTGATACACGCAGCTCGGGAGAAGAATCAGATTCCCATTCTCCACTTATCTCCAAAGTCTCTTTGGCCCAATCATGATCTCCTTTACTCGAATTATCAAAAAGCTTATGACGGATTCGCAGTTGTCCAACTCCATCAATACGACCTATGTCAAAGAAATACCAAAATTCGTTAGTGGTTAGTCCCAAGTCAAAGAATTGGTTCAAATTGTGGAACCCCACCATCACTCGGACCGCATTCGGGGAACATTGGGCAGGCGCACATTTCATAGAGCAAAGCACTTCTTGGAAGAAACGCGGTATAGGGAAAGTAAACCCTAAACACAAAATAGTAAGGATGGAACTTGATAGTTCTCCGAGTTCCACTGCATGGTTCTCGGCTGCTACCATCTTTAACTCGTCTCACACGCACTCCCGACGGAATGGCATGCCAATACGTTTCAAGAAAAATCTCTAAACAAATTGTCGGAGCTAATCTTGATGTGAGCAGCTTTGAAGTAGCCAATCTTGCTCAAAGACCCGCCTTGAGACGGTACAGCGGGGGCACACCATCATCATTCTTACGGCTCGAGGAAGACATGCTTGAAAATTCTACAAAAGTACAAGGAAGATTTGTTAGAGAGTTGTTAAAAAAAAAAAAAAAAAAAAAAAAAAAAAAAAAGAATTAGGCTTAAAGCCGCAGGACCAGCAAACCTGCCAGGGCCCCACGGGCCTGGCTTGCTTCAACGCCCAGCAAGAAAAAAATATATATATTTTCATGGCATTACCATGCCATGGTTCACCAGATCAACCTATAACAAGTCTCTGATTCCCATCAGGCCAAGAATCAAGATCCAAAGATTCCAGAAAATCAAGAAGACAAGAAAAATAATTTTTTTCTTACTTGGAAGCAACGAAGAGCGATCCTTTACACGGGCAAGACGTAGAAGATTGCTAGAGGAGGGGGAACAAATATCCTCTAAGCTCTCTTTTTCTCTTGTAAGGATGAATAAGTTTCACTCTAAAAGTTGATTTAAATTAACAATCCACTTAAGGTGGACTTAAATAAGCTTTGGGGAAATTTATTTCCTTTTCCTAGAAGGATTTAATTTCCTATTGAAAGAAAGAATCAACACAACAACAAAATAGGAAACAGTTCAGAATTTCCTAAAGCAAGAAAATCTCTACACCTATTGCCCTTTTCTGCAAACAGCTCAACAGGTGTGGGGGCATTTGTGGAGCCAAAAATATTCACTAGGCGACACGTGGATTTGTGAACGAAAAGAGGACAAAAATACCCTTGAGGTATATCGGGATTCCTACGCGCAAGTAGTGGGTAATCATCCTCAACCAATTCAAAAATGCTCCAGAAGAGGTAACTAATTCCAAATTATCTTATTTTAGGTAATTATTTCCAAAACTTAATTTCCCTAATATATTATTTAGTTAATTAATTATCTAAATAATATATTCTTCCCATATCTCCTAAAATCATCCCTTAATTACCAATTTGAAACATCCACTCAAACCTAAAAAATGGGATAGGGCCGGCTACCCCCATTCAAAGTCTATTCCATCACCTTTTTTTCTACCTTTTCCACCTTTCCTTCCCTTTTAAATTAGCCAATCAATACCATAAATAATAAAAATATCTCCTTTCATATTTAATTAGCCAATTAATTGGCTAATTAAACCTAAAATTAAACCTAAAAATCCCATAGCCCATAGTAACCGGCCACATTCCCTCCCATCTTTTCCCTACCTTTTTTTTTATTTTTCCTCCACTTTATTACTCAAATAAAGCTAATCATTTAAGACCCCATTCATTTCTATTTTATTATTAGCCAATAAAAATAAAGGGGCTAATAAAAAAACCACAAATTGACTAAGAAAAGGGAAGGTTGGGCCGGCCCTTCCTTGGTGAAAAAAATGGGGAAGCCTAATCCTATAAATGGGCTCTATTCTCACCAAAAATTCATTCCAAACCTCTTGCAAAAATTCCAAAACAAAAAACACTATTTCTCTCTAAATTTCTAACTTTGGCATCGGAGGTTCTTCGGCCAAAGCCCCCCCCATTCATCGTGGGCGCGTGAGGCTTTTGGCCTTAACCTAAGGTGCTAGTTGTTTTGTAGGTGCAAAATCGTCCAAGATCGAAGAGGAGAAAATTTGCATCCACAATTTCGATTTAGCTCCAACTGTAGCTATATTTCTCTACCGAGATAGTTGCTGTAGTTTGCAAGCTTCTGTCATGGCATTAACGATGACCCAACTCTCAGTTTTAGCTGCAGCTTTCATCTGCATTTCTCTTTTCTGCTGCAGAACAGGTCTATATGTGACATAGAAACCTAATATTGGTTCCTACTTCTTATTCTTAATTTTCTAATAAAATATTAAGCGGAACTTTTTTTGGTGCATAAATTTTTGCAGGGATGGCAGATGAATATACACCCGAAAGAGGTGATGAACCAGAAAAGGGCACTGGCACTGAACACCAGGATCCAACTCAAATTGTTGCCAAAGCCTTGCTGTGTTTCAATGACAAATATGTAAGTCACACCATCATTCAGTTGAAAGCACATACCATATTCAAATTTGATTAGTCCGTCTATGGAGCTAACGTTCTGTCAATATTCTATCCATAATGTGTTAGGTACCATTGTTGCTCACAAAATATACAAACACGTTATAGATCCACTTTTGACAATACTCATGCACGCCGTTACTTCATAGGATGTTCATTTCTGAATGTTTACGTACATGTGAGACATTAGGAAAATAAGTTCACTAGGAATAAAATATTCATTTGTGGATGTAAACACAATTGTAATGGAAATATATGTAATGGTTTGGAGAAAATTTCAGGTATACAGCAGCTGTGAAGAGTCTTACAGATTGAATGAGAGTGGAGATCTGAAGGTGCCTGCAGAAAAAACTGATGAATACTGCAATGGTCCTTGCATGACGGAGACACAGCTTGTGCTCGATTGTATTGATAACATCATGACCAATTTCCTGTTTTACAACAAGGCCACGATTCAAGACATTCGAGACACGATTCATGCCGGATGTGGCCACGGCAAAGAAAGAGGTAACCCTTTGATTTAATTTGTACCTAGTCATGGTAGTGTGAAGAGATTATATTTTGTTTTGGTCAGCTGTTATTTGTATAATCTGTCATTAAATTGCATTTTTTCCAGGTAAATTCGACGTGGCTGAACACATCATCAGAGCTGAAGGAAGCAATGCGTACAAGGCTGCAAACCAGATTCTGATTGGGATTGTGCTGATGATTGTGGGGAATGGATTACTGTTCTAAATTCTAATATGTATGATGCCATAAAATTAATTCCCATAGCCATGTATATATGCAAAAGTATAATATATAGTGGTAACGTTCAGACTATAGTAACAACAACAACAAAATCTTTTTCCACTAAGTGGGGTCGGTGTCATTCAGACTGTAGTAGTAAAACAAAAACGGAAGATAATCAATATATAATTACTGCTGTAAAAATGTGTTTTCAGAATGAATATAAGATTTTAAGACACTTATAGCTAAAGTAATTAAGAACGTTTATTCATGTATTTGAGATTATGTGTTGTTTCTATCCCTAGTTCTTTTATCGTTTGGCCAGAGACAAAAGAAGGGCGAACGACTATAAGATTAAACTTTGATTTGAAGGCTCCAGTTTGAAAAATGATGACCAAGTACAAAGACGACACAGTGCACACCATACAAGCATGACAATAGTTCCGCATATAAAGTAGTTTCGCTTAACTTTAAGTTGTAACGATAATGACAAAATAAATAGTAAAGTGAATAGTATTAAAATTGACTTTTTAGTGTAAAAATGTGGTTTTTCGTTAAAGTGAACAGTACCGGGAGCTTTTCGTTAAAGTTTCCTTAGCTCACATATGGGAAGTATATGCAGTTTGATGCGGGACAATAAATATTATAATGAGTCTATGTAAATTTCAGTTTTAGTAACCATGTCATATTTGATCAGACATTGATGACACAATGATGACATAATGATCATACATTTATGATATAATGATGACATTTAAAAACTGATCATTTTTTCAACCAAATCTTAAAAATTGATCATTCCAGCTAATTGCCCATTTTTCATCTTGTTATATTTGCCCACCTATTATACTCGTGTCTTTTTTAGGCATAGTAGCATTTTTTTTTTGTTTCGAGCAAGAGATTTGTAGCTTAAATGGTTAAAAATGTTTACCTTTACACTGAAGTCTGAAAGTCATGTGTTTAAATCACCATCTGCTAGTATTTCTTGTACCAACAAAAGAGAAAAATCCGTCTCATATTTTGTATCATGTTACAAAATAAGCGAATCAATGACACTACAAATGTGAGGATCATAAAGTTATTGTGTCCAATAGCCGAATAAGGTGGACTACCTAATTACTTACAAAGAAGTGTGACCCTTGCGGGGGTTGTACATGTTGTGATTTATGGGTCAAGTTAAAGTGTTGGATACAAATTTGGAAGTGATGATCGGTCGGACAAAAGCATAGAAGAAGCATTTGAAGAGTTCTGACATTAGGGCGATCGATCGGAGGTGGCGGTCGATCGATCAAAGACGGGAAGAGAAATCCTCTCACATTTCCTTTTTAGTTTTTTTTGGTCCTATATGCGCTGGGTTTTAGATCTCTTGGTTGGATTCTTTGCTTCGTGAAGAAGTTTCGATAATTTACTCATTTGATGAGAATAAGAATTTGATTTCCTTGCCTATTAGGACTTGGATTTCCTTTCAATTAGGATTAAGATTCTCATTGTAACTTAAGTTCTATGCATTATATACAGGACCTTAGGGTTTGGTTTATTTTGTGTGTCATCACCATTGGTTTAAAGATTTTACTCTCTTTTGGTTTTGGAACGGAGGTCACCGTTTGGAGTGATGAGTGTGTGGCAAATTCATGGCTCCTTCGTTTGACATTGGTGAGAGTTAATTTGTGAGTTTGAGAGTTAGAGAACAATTTGGGAGATCTCTCTGTTTGCTTTGGATTCTCTGCTCATTTGGTTTATGATTTGTAATTTATGGGATTTGAATTGTGAGAGTTAAACACTCATTTGTAAACTTTGTTTGTTTAATAAAAGATCTTGCCCTCATTCGCTCGTTTGAATCTTCATTTTTACTACAACGTTGATATTTAATATTTTTATTAGAATCATTTTCCGCTTACGTATAAAAGTACAATAGTACAAACATGAGATCAAGCGCTACCTAAATGCTCATTATTTTATGAGTCGGTCAAACAATCTACCTGATATGATTGTGGAACACAAAAATTATCATAAACGAGGGTATAATTCTTTGTAGGTTACTGATCACTCATATATTTCATGCATTTATACCATCCATTTCTAAAGTCTTTGTGATGTTTTTGTGTTAAAATTGTAGCATTTTACCTTACCTTGTGTTAATGTGCAGTTAATTTTGTTTTAGGATCAAAGAAATAAAAAAAAAGAAAATAAAAGAAATAGAATACAGAAAGAAGTGGAGGACACACTGGCATAAAGAAAACAAGAAGGGAGTGCAGCACTGACAGAATAAAAGAATGAGGAGTGGGAGAGCACGGCATGAATAAACAAAGGGAAAAGTGGGTTGATGGGGGAGACACTGAAAAGAAAAGAAATAAAAAAGAAACGGAGAGACAGAGAGATAAGGGAGATAAGAAAAAAAAAAGGAATAAAAGACTAAGAAGAAATATAAGAGGAAGAGAGACTGACGCGACAGGGCGGACGACGCAGAGAAGACGGAAGCAGAGGCGCAGCAGAAGCAAAAGAAGTCAGGAGCAGAAGAGGAACCAAAAACGGGTGTTTTATTTCTTGTTATTTTTTTATGGATAATTTCTTATGTATGAACATAATTATGTGTAACTAATTTTATTATGCTAGAGTAAGGCCATGAGCCGCAACATGAATACGTAGATTTATTTTCAATTGCTTAAGTATTGTTACATGCTTGCTTTGATATTTTCAATCACCGAATTAAACTATCTATGTACCTTGATGCTTGATCACCATTAGGATGCTTAGAAAAAGTTATCGGATGCAATTTTGAACGAATGTCACGTTAAAATTGGTTGTGCTTCTTGTGATTGAGGATTGTATTCTCCTAAGGTAAATATCATGCTCTTAGGGATTATATGGTTTAACAAAAGGATTTTCACCAAGATTAATGAATCACTCATGTTTATATTTAATCCAAATGTCATGGATAAGTTGCATGTAGTGGTATGCGTTTTAGCTTGAATGTCACAAGTAAAACATACACAAGGAAAATCCAACCTTCAAAGCATATGTGTTTTCAATTATTTAAGCAATTGGAATAGCTACGTAGGAGTGTTGTTGGTAAAGGTTGAACTCTAGCATATTGTCAATCTATTTTTCTTCAATCATTTATTTTATCTTGAATTTCCTTATTTGCTTGTTTTGTTTAAGTTGAATCATTATTCCTATAAATCAATTCCTATTTTAGATATTTGTTTAATTCACATTCAGTAATATTTAGTTTCGTCAAATTAGTGTAATTCTTAGAGTTAAATAAGTTAATTACACAAAAACTCGTAAATTGTTTATATCAGTCCCTGAGGAGATCGACCTTGCTTGAGCCATTCTATACTACAAACACTTGTTCTCTTGCAAGAATTTTCTATGGTTTAACCCCTTGTTTTCCAAGTGGTAAAATCGTTATCAAGAAATTGGCGCCGTTGCCAGGGACTGTGCCAACAGTTCCCGAGTTTTTGTGTTTATTTTTCTTATACTTATGTTTATGTCTTATTTTTATTAATCATTAAAAAAAATTAATTTAAAAAAAAAAAATTATTTAAAGAATCCTTCTTGATTAACTTTGGTACCGTAATAATGTTGTATATTTGCGTTAGAAATCTGTTTATGTATCCCTTTCACAAATTTCTGTTTTAAATCACATATTATTAAAAAAAAAATTTATTATTTAAAGTTATAAAAAAAAAAAAAACAGCTATTAATTTAGTGAGTTTTGATCTTTTATTAAGTGTAGTGGATGTGTGGTGTGAGATTTTTGTTTTCGTTTAATTAACTAGTGGTTGCCAATTTGCATAATTTGTGTTTTTAATTCATCTAGGTTTACTTACTTTCTTTTTCTTTTTGTTTTTGTTGTTTAGTTAGTTTCTGTTAAGTTTTATTTTATTTTACTTTTATTTTTTATTGTGGCTTAATATTTCTATTGTTTGTTCAGGTGTAGTATATGGTGATTGGAACAAGGTCCAAGAATCAAGTGCTTATTCCTTATGACCTTGAACCAGAGAGAAGTGCAAGGAAGTTAGCTAGAGAAAAATATTTAGCACAAGATTCCAACCTTGGTGATACTTTTCTTAAGGATTTGTTCCGTGATCCTGAGAGCGGCACATCTATTTTCCAACCTTTTGATACCAGTTGCACACATGGCCCTAGCCTTACCTGCAGCAGGTCAACCTTTAAGGAATTCATTGGCGGCGAGAATCAATGCAGTGCCGAGGTGCATTATATATCCAGATGTGGAAGATGGGACATCCTTTGAAATCAAACCTCACATCCTCAACATATTGCCCTCCTTTCATGGGTTGCCAAACAGTGATCCCAACATGCATTTGGTTGATTTTATTGAGGCATGTGACAACACCATAATCAGAGGTTTCTCTTCTGAAGCTATCAAGTTACGTTTGTTCCCGTTCTCTTTGAAGGACAAAGCCAAGGCATGGCTGCATTCTCTGCCTGCCAATAGCATTACAACATGGATAGAATTGCAAGAAAAATTTCTCAATAAGTTTTTTCCTTCTTCCAAGACGCTTGCACTCAAGAAAGAGATATTGGCTTTCGCTCAAAAGCCGAACGAGTCTTTCCATGAAGCTTGGGAACGGTATAATGAGATGTACACAAAATGTCCTCATGCTGGGTTTGATTCTAACCTTCAAATGAACATATTTTATGATGGTCTCAATGCCACCACCAAGAGTCACGTGAATGCATCTGCTGGAGGGTCATTAATGTCAAAATCAGCAAGGGAAGCATTTGAGTTGTTTGATATGATGGCTTCTGAATCCCAACAATGGACAGAAGAACAAACACAAAAGAGGGGAGTTTTTGAGATTTCTCATAGTTATCCTAATGTTTCTGCTCAAATTGCTAAAATGGAAAATAATTTTAATGCCAAATTTGCTGCCTTAATGCAGGTATCTTCCATGCCCAATGCCCAAGAAGCGTGCATCATTTGTAGTGCAACAACTCATGACATCACTCAATGCCCCAACAAGGATAGCTATCCTGAGCTTGTGCAAGAGCATGTGAATATGGTGAATAATTTCACTAGACCCAAAAGTGACCCTTATTCCAATACATATAATCCTGGGTGGAAGAACCATCCCAATCTCAGTTGGGGTGGCAACCAACAGCCACGTCAATACCAACAGTCTTACCAATCAACTAGTGAGACTAAGAAACCATCTCTTGAAGACCAAATGTCACAG